ATTTGAATTTCCCGGGCTTCATTTGCATAAACTGGGCGCCGCCATTTTTAAATCCCTGCTCGTTCAAACCCTGTGCCGCGCGGCTACACGCGGCACAAACTAGGTAGTTCAAACTAGGCTTCCTAGTTCGAACTACCGCTGCAGCGGTACAGCCCAGACGCGCCTGGGCTGTCCCGCTGCGGGCGTCCTCCGCAGCTTTGCTCCCCATCTCCCTGGTCTGCTGGAGACCAGCAGACCAGGGAGACGGGGAGCAAAGCCGGGGAGCATGCGGGCAGCGGACAGCCCAGACGCGCCGCAGCTGTCCCGCTGCCGGCGTCCTCAGAGGCTTTGCTCCCCGTCTCAGCAGACCAGGGAGACACGCAGCAAACCTCGTTCGTAACTGCGGATCCGACATAAGTAGGATCCGCGTAACTCGGGGACTGCCTGTATACCTCTATCATATATCACTGGAGCAATCCCAGTTTACGCCAGTAGGGGATGTGATCCTATGCTATGTTTACCGCTGTCTTTAAAATTAAACTCAGACATTAAATGTATCTACTTGGATAAAAATCAGAACTGGCAGCCCCCAAGTGTGAACATGAAAAGGGAGTGCTCGGGTTCAAAAACAGCATAATAAAAATATTCTTAGGTGTCTCTGCATTTGTTGGTTTCAACCCAACAATTCAGAACATACCTCTCGTCCATTTGTTTCCATGCCCGTTACAAAGAGGGCTGAGTACTATTATTCCAGACCAGGAAACAGAGATGAAGTGACTTGCCAAAGGTCCCACAGGAAGTCAGTGGCAGAGTCTGCTGGCTCTTAGTATGGAGTTTAACCCTCTGGACTAGAGTTATTCATCTACAGTGAAAAAGAGTGCAATTAGTAGACTGGTTGAAAACTGGATGCCCTGGAAAACTTAGAAACAAGCCTGATCGTCAAGATTTACAACCTGGGGGTCTCCTATGGGCAGAGAAGCTTTTGCATTTTTTAGATGATTTAATTGAGCCAAGCCAAAGCTCCGAGCTCACTGATTCCCTCCATGTTGGACTTTAGAAATGGGGCTAAGGTATCAAATCCCTATCCCCACCTGGATCTGAACCTTTCCGGCATCTCAGCTGGTGAGAACAGATTTGAGCTGTGACTAGAACCTCCCTCTGTTATTGAGCCCCCGAAAATACCTTTAGGAGAGCCAAAAGAGAAGAGGGAGAAGAAAGACACAAGCCTGGCTAATCATGGGCCTGCAGGAGCATCCACCTAGCCCGAGCGAGGGCCGTGGAAGTGGCTGGGTGCGGAGCGCTGTAGGGATACGCGTAGTATCAATGAGGAAGACAGAAAATGAGGTTGTAATGTATATCTCTCTAGCCACCCCCATGAGCGGTATCTATCCCCTTACACACCCCTGCCTAGGCATCCCTAGAAACCCTCTCCAGGCCCAGACACCTTCCCCCATCCAGCCATGCAGCGGTCAGAATCCCCTTAGAGGCTCCTTCAGGCCGGCTTTGCTCATCTGTCAGTCACTTGGCACTTCCAAACCAGAACCCTAAGCAGGCAAACACTGTAATAATGGAGCGGGGTGTCCGATGCCCTCTCCAGGAAGAGCAGAGAGATGGCTAGAGAACGGCTTGTTCTAACCCTGAGGGCACCACCCCACTCCTTTTCCCGCCTTTCCCAAAACGTGTGCCTCTGTCCCCAGGATGAATGCGAGTGGCACATGCTGTGACTCTGGAATGCAATTGATCCTTGCCAGACTACCAGCTGGAGGGTCAGGGCTTTCCCAGATCCTCGCGTAGCCCTGCAGCACTACGCTGCACACTCCACCAGTTGGTTTGGGCAAAAGGTTATTCTCTCCGGGGCATTTAGAATCAATGTAGCATGCACTAATAGATGCCTCCTCTATTGTTTGCCCATGTGTCCCGATTGGCTGAGCGAGTGTGGGAAACATCAACAAGCCTGAGACTCACATCGCGGCTGGGCCCTTCGGGGGTATAAATAGAGGCTGTCACACCGCCTTGGGCTCAGCACTGGCACTCACCCACAGATCTGTGCCCGTAACAGACAGGGAGAAGAATGGCTCCCAGCAACAGCTTCATGGCCCACGTGGAGGAGAAACTGCTTCCAAAAGAGAAGAATAAAGTAAGTAGAGCAATGGATAAGGCTGGGGAAATGACGCGAGGTCCTGTAGCCCCTTAGAGACTAACAAAAATATACATATAGTATCATGAGCTTTCGTGGACAAAACAATATGTTTGTTAGCCTCTAAGGACTACTCGTTTTTAAAGCTACAGACTAACACGGCTCCCTCTCTGAGACCTTTAAACATGCAAGGCTGGGAAGTGTGTGTTAGGTTAAGGACTCCTCATGCATCTGAAACTTCCAAGCCAGCTGCGTGTTACCTAACTAATTTTATACCGGAACATAAGAGAGATCATACATGCATGAAAATAAGGATAAATAGATAGTGAGCGAGTAAAAAAAAAACCACCATGTAAAGAACGAGATTAAAGATTGGTGTAAAGGAGATAGAGGTAAAAGAGGAAGATAGATGGACGCACGCTCAGAACCACCGACTTTCCACAGAGTAGGAATTTGTCTTAATGGACGTGGGTGGGATTCAACCAAGTTTATGTAAATAAATTGGATCCAAGTGTATCCCTAACAAACTGGCCCCTCTCTTGTGCAGCTGAGGAAGCCGGTGGTGGAGAAAATGCGCCGGGACCGGATTAACAGCAGCATCGAGCAGCTGAAACTCCTGCTGGAGAAGGAGTTCCAGAGACACCAGCCCAACTCCAAGCTGGAGAAGGCCGACATCCTAGAAGTGGCCGTGGGCTACCTGAAACAGCAGAGCCAGCTGCAGGCACAAAGTGAGTATGCAGCATGCTTTATCGCTCCACCCCACCTGGGGCTGCTTTGCCAGGGCCGGCTCCTCCAAACCTTTGCTCACATGAGTAGACTTTACTCCTGGGGGAGTCAATGGGACCCTTTGCGTAAGGACTAGCCACATGAGCAAGGGTTTGTGGGACCTCCTGTTGAGCCCTTCAGATGTATTAGACTGCTCGGAGTTTGGACCGACCATTAACATGTTGATTCTCTCCCCTTCCTTTTCCAGTGTTCAGCCCGAAGTGCCCTGAACAGGATTTCAGCACTGGCTATCTGCAGTGCCTGAAGGAAGCCCTGCGGTTCCTCTCCTATTGTGAGCCTAAGAAGGAAGCTCAGGCACAGCTGATCAAGCATTTCTGCAGAGCTCAGATGATTCCAGACAACCTGAGCTCACCCCCCATGCACAGCTCACCCCCTTTGCCATGTCTGGTATCTAGGAAGCATCCTGTCCAGAAAAATACCCCTGCAGCTGTTGCTGCCATCTGGAGACCATGGTAGACTGGACTTTTGGAGGCGGGGTGCACTGCAAAACCAAAGGGATCTCTGAGTGAATGGTCCCTCTTTAAAGTAGGAAACTTTGATTTCCAGGAGGGGTTTTATGGTTTGTCCTGAGAAATGGTCTCAGCAGCAGTTTCCCTTCATAGTGAAGGACGGTGTCTGTATCTTGCAGCAAGCACACTGCCCTTATGGGTGTTTCCGAGCTCAATACCGGGCTAAGCCCGTTGGCACTTTACAGAGTCAATCTCTGACTGACTTCCATCAGAGTTTAGCTTGAGAAGGCTCTCTCTCCAGTGCCCTTTGAAGTCCATGGGAATCTCCATGGATTTCCATGGGCATTGAATCAGGAGCTTTTTTGGCCCTACGTTGGGTATTGACCTTCAAGCAGAAGGGCCATGTGAAGATGTAATTTGTATGACAAAGAGAGTCTAGACTTTACCTTTTGAGTGAAAGATTTGATTCCGAAATATCGATGCTTCTGAAGTCCCTACGCTATCGTAGTATAAACTCTTGTGCAAAGTTATTATGATAACGATTTACTGTAGGAGAAATTCTCTCAACATGCAGCATGGGTTGATCTCAGTTGAGGGATTATTGATGCCTTTTGTAAAGGAAGTACCTGCTGTGTATCTTAATTAATGGGAATGGAAGGTGGAAAATGTGTACTCTACAGTCATTCACTGAATATGCTGATGAGCTTAATAGGCTTTTATAAAGTTGCCACGTATTCATCGTCTGTGATGTTGAAAGTGACATTGGTTCCATCAATGTAAATATCAATAAAATGCTTTTTATTCATTGATCTTTTGTTTGAAGTCCTTAAAACATGGAATTTTATGGGGCAATGTGAGGGTAACATCAGGACTCGAAGTGTGCCGGGTGAGAGGAGAGTCACAAGGGGTCCAGGGAGACCAAGCAAAAACATTTTTTTCAGAATCTAGCCAGATTGCTTAGGGCACTGGCTTTCAGCACTGTCTTCTAAATGCTGCTGCTCCCAGATTATGACAGACAACCCCCCTATTTTAGTCTATATACAGAATGAGGCTGTGTAGGGATGTTGCTCTTTGTAAATGCTATAAGCTCTCCAGTGCGCACACACATGTAAGCAGCTACACAGATTTCAGCTGGAAAAGAAGCAGGATTTGGCCTAAAAAGATAAACAAAAAAGCTACTAAAAATAAAGTCACAAAGGCCTATTGTGTATTAAAGGTGAACTAAAATGCTATAAACAGATGTGTAAGATTCCCTAACGGATCATGCACAGACTTCAAAGTAAAACATCAAAAAAACATTTCACTGCCCTCCCTCACCAATAGTTAATTTTTCTGCCATGCCCTGAGTTCACAACCCAATGCTTCCTTCTCCTCCAAACATTGGTGGCATGGAAAACACATTTGAACTATGAAGAATTCAGCACTTTGCTCTGTTTTAAAGCCCTGAACCTGCCCCCCTTGAGGTCAAAAAGGAAAATTCCCATTTTCTTTAATAGGTGAAAATTCAGGGATCACATGGTGTTTTAATATTAGTACCTTCTGTTCACAGAAACCTGAATACAGGTTCTCGAAGGAAACAAAAAGCTTCTCCTTTCTCCTTTAAAATATAAGCGGCATGTCTATACCATCAAGTAAGGATTTCCTTTTCAAATTATTTTCTCTTGTTTTTTATAAGCATTTCATTCTCATCTTTAAGGAATCCAAGGAAGCCTCAAAAAGTCAGCATTAGTCCAGGAAGATCAAGCAGTGTTGCGACTCAAGAGATTTTGATATGACTCCCTGCTCTGCCACTGATGTGCTAAATGGGCAAGTCACTTCATCTCTCTGCCTCAGTTTCCCAATCTGTAGACTTGGGAATGATAACATTGTCCCACCTGTTCTAAAGCACTTTGAGATAGCTGAAGGTCAATCTCTATACAAATGCTAGAGGTTATTCTGTACTAACTATAAATTTTTAACATGGGCTTGTTTCCTTCAAAGAAATGCTGCCACACTCCAGACCCTATTGAGGTACAAAAATATAACAGCGACATGTCCCCTTTGATCCCTCCCACCATAGCAATATAGAAAACAAGCCCTGCATGCCCTCCTCAATGAGGGCTTACAAAACCCTGAAAACCCCACCATGCTAATTAGGAAAAACTTAAAAAACAACGAATAGTCTAGTAGCTCTATAAAGACTAACAAAACACGTGGATGGTATCATGAACTTCCATGGGCAAAACCCACTTCTTCAGATGACCAAAGATCCAAGATAAATAAGGATAAATAAGGGAAGGGGGGGGGGGAGAAAAAGAGAGATAGTGAGTAGATAAAACTTAAACAACAATCAGTCTAGCAGCACTCTAGGGACGAGAAAAAAGGGAAGGGGGGGGGGGGAGAAAAAGAGAGATAGTGAGTAGATAAAACTTAAACAACAATCAGTCTAGCAGCACTCTAGGGACCAACAAAACATGCAGATGGTGAGTCAAGCTAAATGAATCCAGGCTGCTAGGATACTTGTGAACCACGGATGTGGGTGTAATAGCCAGTCACTCCTCTGTCCAGGGACAGCTATGGAAAATGAAGGAAGACAGACTGAGAAGATTTGAAGCTGGGAGAGAGAAGAGTGTGAGTGGTTATCAAGCCCCTAAGCATGGACTTTATTGGGTAACGCAAAGCCAGCTTGGAGCACCTTCCACACTCTCTCACAAAAATGTTTTACAGAATTTGTCATGGACTCAGCCATCTTGTGGGCAGGGTGGTGCAGCAGCACCCTGCCTCAGTTTCCCCTCACCGAGGTTTCAATGTCACAAAAGTCCAAACAAACAAGAGTTCTTCCACTCTGCTTGGGCTCTTCTTTAGCTCGCCCCCAGGGGAGGCCTTCCAACCTGGGGTATTCTCCCAGCAGGAGCCTCTCTGGTCTGCCACGCTTTTGCATCCTGCAACTTGGTGCTCCACTTCCCAAAGTCAGTCTCAACAATGGTGCCATAGGAGTAAACCCTTCTCAGGTGCCCCACTTGCCCACAGGCAAAGGTCTGTGGCTACGGATATTTGCATTTGCAGCGTTCCCGATATGTGCTGCTGCTACTACTTCTCCAGGACTGCCAGCTGCCTTTGCAGAGAAAACTGTGCCTCTTGCTGCCTCTCTGTTCCTCAGCAGAACTTCCTGGCTTGGCCCGTGCCATCTGGAGCAGGAACTATAGCAGTTACTGCTGACCCCACATATACTATTTAACCACCGGATAAGGCCGCACTGCTCTTTGGCTTCCTCTTCTCCATTCTCCTCTCATCACTAAGGGGCATGCACAGAACAAATCCTGCTGACTGCACCTGTGTTAGAGATCCTTACCAGTGAGCGCCCCCTCACGGTCTAGCGTGTCTCTAGGACAAACCTGCCTTGGTTTCCCCTTTTCAGGGCATCTCATAAAGCCCTCCAGCCTGGTTTGGCTGTTGCAGTGACTTGGTCCTCTGGCTATGCCATTTACCAGACAGACTTCCGCCCTTTCTAGGATATACCCATCAAACCAACAAACACAAAAACTCACAGCATCTACATCCCAGCTGCAAGATAGACCCAGTCCTCCTGTCCTGGAGGTCTGGTCTGGCTTATTTTTTTACTGAGCACTGGCAGCAACTCCCTCCCTGTGCTCTTCCTCCTTCTCTGCAGAGAGTCCTTCAGCTTCGCTCAGCCCTCTTCTTTCGTTTCGTAGGCACTAAGCCCATCTCTTGTCAAAGAGCCAGCCACCCTGTGACAGAAGTAAACAGCATTTTCAATAGTAACTTTTAAACTCCAGCCCTTACCTGCAGTACGCGTCTCGTTGCATATAAGAAGTGCTACTCCCCAGAGAAATCCCACTCACTAGCCAGCTCAGCAAGGAATGCTGATGCTTTACCTTCCCTGTCTGAGGTTCCCGATTAAATTAAATGTGCAGATAATTATCAAAAATGCTAGCTTGCCGTATTATTTCTAAAAATTATTGGTGGCTCCTGTACTGTGTATATTTATAAGCGTATATGGTAAGGAATCATCGTGCATTGAGAATGGATGATTCCCATCATTGGCCAAATAGCCTATCTCCCCTGTGATTCCATGAAAGACATGTCCTTGAAATGCTGAATTTCTACTGAAATAATTTCTCTTTAAAAACCCAGGGTTAACCGAGCACACCCAGTCTCCCAGCCAAGCACAACCCAGAGTCAATGGTTTACTTAACCGAGCACACCCAGTCTCCCAGCCAATCACAACCCAGAGTCAATGTGGTTTATTGCCAAGAACAACACTGATTGGTCAGTCCCCACCTAGCTTTGGCAGGGAATCTGCAGTAAGTTTCTTTGCTATGTTTATAGAAAGAATTTAAAAAAAAAGTAACCGGACAATAGAATCTTTTTGCCTTTCCTCCATGTGTTTACATGGGCCCTTCATGTTATTCTTGTACTATGAACACAGGAACCGGCTGCATTAATTCAATAAATGTCAGGAGCCGGCTGCAGTAATTCAATATATGTATACCTTTTTTTTCTTGCTGCTTTTGTGATTTAATTCAAGGCTGATCCTGATTTTTGTGACTAGATTAATTATTCATAAATATTCACCAAATGATTCAAATTGAAGAATCTTCAAACTGTAGTGGACCCAGATTGATCACTGAGCTGGGACATGGAAGACCTGCTCATGCACTAGCTTGCTGTGAGAAAATAGGAAAGTCACATTCTCTGCCTCAGTTTCCCCATCTGTAAAACTAGTAATTATTTGGACTGCTGGAGTGCCTGAGAGCCCCAGTCATGGGCAGTGGACATAGGGCTCGGTAAAGCTAGTAATTATTTGGACTGCTGGAGTGCCTTAGAGCCCAAGTCATGGGCAGTGGTCATAGGGCTCAACAAATAGTGTAATCCACCCTGAAAGAGCTGGCACAGAGCGATCTGTGCATGTGCAGAGCGCAGGACCGCACAGCTGGCGAGCAGGGCTCGCCGCCGCTTGGCGAGCCCTAAACTTTACCAATAAAATAGTGCTACATAAGAACTAAAAATTATTATTATTTAGTTAGTTAATTGCAAGCTCTTTGTTATGGCAACTCACCATTCTTTGCAGTATTTAATGGTTCATATGGCATATATTCTGCTCCCAGACTGGTTGAACGAAACTTTTTTAACATGAGAAGGGTGATTAATGAATACCACGTTTCAGTACAAATATAAAAAGTTTGCAAACATTTTTATAAAAAGTGGAAGTCACATATTTAAAAAGCACAAGGAAACTCCTCGCTCAAATATCAGTCAATCAGATTCAAGCTGTTTGTTTATGCATGTGTGGGGGTTTTTAAATTAACAAACCAATTCTAATGAACTGAGATTACAAATGAAGACAGGGGACATACCTTCTTTCTAGGTAAAGCAGAATCAAGTAGTAATGCAATTTGATATTACCACACGCTACCTTCCATTTGAGATTACAAATGAAGACAGGGGACATGATTCTGCTCTACCTAGAAAGAAGGTAAGTAGTAATGCAATTTGCTATTACCACACGCTACCTTCTATAGAGACTGTACTCAATACAGACAAGGAATAGAATCACTCATGTTTCTCTTAGCTATTATAGATCTACTTAGAGTAAACTGCTAGTATGTGTATAACTATCTCATACAGCTAATATGCATCTTTTTGGAGTAAACTGAGCCATGAGCCACATCACACGCTGCTTGAGTGTAAGCTGATGAAGTCAGACGGAAAAACAGAAAAGATAAACTTTGAGAACCAGAGTTTATGGGCCTCTGGGTCTACGTCTGATCTCACTTGCACTGGTGTAAATCAGAAACAAGTCAGAAAA